CGGTCCTCTTTCCCGAGGCCTGATGACTTTCCCTTTTTCTTTCTTTCTTTCTTTTTTCCCCCCTCCCGTGTTCATCCCTAGGCAGCTTCAGATCAGGGCCCGGGCTGCTCTTTCTGCATATTTGAACAGAAATCCCTCACAATGACGGAGGTACAGTAATGAACCTGAGCTGTTTGTTTGTCTGGTTGATTGATGCTACTTTGAGGTTAAATATATGTATGTACATATATTATACACGCACGCACACACCTACAGATAGGTATTTCTCTGAAGAACTCGCCACCCGCCAGCTGGCTGCACCGTGCTGGGGCCCTGGGGCGGGACGGGATGGGAGGGGAGCAGGCCCCGCCGCCTGGAGTACGCGTTAAAATATTAGTATGAGACGAGTGCCTTTCATTTTGTATATATTTATGTATTTTTTCCAGAAAGTATTTTTTTTCTTTTAATCGTTTGCAGATCATTTGCAAAGGCATTTAAAAATACTCACCGGGAAAACTGGATAATCTGTAAACTGTCCAGTGTGTTTTTCCTAATATTTTTGCAGATCATACTTGGAAAGTCTTTCAACCCTCCTGTAGCAAACCGTGGTTGTTTTTTGATATGGGGGCATTTGGTATCTTCTACCGTGTACACAGCTAGGAGAAATAGGAGACCGTAAGCTGATCTTCAGCATTCAGGTTGTTGTCTCTCCTTCTCCCAAACGCAGCAGGAGAAAGCAGAATGGGAAAACTTAAACAAAATTTTGATGCGCCATGGGTTGAAACCTGTGAGCTTTGCTGCCCCAGGAAACAGCAGAAGTATATCAGGTAAGGGCATGCTGTTTTTACAAGTTTCTGTATATGAAAATATAAGCCCAAGTTCATAAACCGTCTTTAAAGCTGACTTTTGCAAGTGCCAGCAGAGATGTGGTCTTCTCCAGTTATCAAATGCCTTTCACTGTGACTTTGTTTATTTTGAATGTTTCCAGATATGATTGTCTTGGACAATCAGTCTTCTCTGGGGATAAGACGTGCATTACAAACACTGCTGGAAGACACGGACCGACAACAGAAAATGATGCATGGGCTTATGGAGGCTAATCACCAGCTCAGGTAAGACTCAGTGGTAGGAACTTGTTTCTAATGCAAGCCAAAAATATTGTCAGTGTCCGTTCTCTGCCAGGTGGAGCTGCTGCCACGCATGAGGCCCAAGACCTTTTTCCTGGGATTTTTGTGGAAAGTGGCAATGTTGGCCTGGTTTCTTCTGCATTTTTCTATCATTTCATCTGCTGCTTCTTCCCATAGCAAAATATTTCCCATACCTGCTCACATGGCCCATTATTGAGTGTTAACAGCTAAAATCTGTTAGGCCTGTGTCTCCTTCACTGTATTTAGTGAAGTTAATTTATTCTAAATCAAGGATTGTGGTTTTTTTTTTCTTTTTGTTAGAGATGAGGTACGTCAGGAACGAGGTCGAGCATCCCGGCAAGAACAACGGGCTAATGATTTGGAAAACGTGGTGAAGAACATAAAATCCAAAATTTGCCAGCTGGAAGATGAGACAATAGCTAAGGTTTGCCAGCAACAGAATCAGGTCAAAGAACTTCAAAAAGATCAGCAGATTTCACAGGTAATTCTGGTAAACCTGTTTGAGGACTCAAACTTTTGACTTTTAAATAAAAGCTTTAAAAATAGTGACACTGGTCAAAATAAATGCAAATCTTTTTGTCTTAAGAGTTACTACACTGTTTATAGCTAAGATTTTTCAAGCTCTATGGAAATTTTTTAATGATAGATTAGAAAAATATATGCATCCTTCTTCCACTGTCTCTTCAGCGTGGCTAGAAAAAAACTACTCAGCTTCCTTAGGAGCAAGTGCCTACTTGGGCATGTATGGCACTGTCTCCAGCTTGTTTGTCAGAATAATTTCGGAATGCTCCCGTTCCCTTTTCACAGGCAAAATACCAACAGCAACAGGAAAAGCTGCAAGAACAGGAAGAGACTATTGCCCGTTTGCAGAGGGAGCTGTACAAGGTTGGGATGGAGGAGCAGCAGCGTGTTGCCACTCAAAACAAAATGTTTTGCCAGTTTTGCAAAAGAGCTCCGAAGTCTCTTCTGGATCAGCAGTAAGCAATTTTCTTCCACTGTTATACTGATGTAACATTAAATGAAGAAGCACATTTTAAAATAATGGTTTTTGATATTTTGATTTTTTTAAAAACTGAGTTCCTTAGGAGTGCCAGTTGAAATATGAATCCTTGTGCCTTGTAAAGGCATGTGAGTTCAATGAACTTTTACTGTATATTAAAAGTGAGCTGCTTAAATCCTTGGAGAAAAGTGAAAATTACAGCCACTGTACACAAGGTGTCAGCAAAGAAAAGAGAATGATGCACTATTTAGTCTGGAACTCCAACGTCTACCAGGGTGATCTCATTCTGGGATTCTAGTATTGTTAAATGTGATCTTAAAGAAACAACAAAAATCTTTCAGTTGTGAAAAGTAGTATTTGCAGCTGCTAACTGCAGGCTTACTGTAAAGCTTTACAGTTACTTCTGTGAAGGTTTTGGAAGTACTCTATGTCTCTTATGATAAGGTCTCCATACTTCTACTATAAATCAGAGCTTTGCCAATTCTTAGGCCTCAAACGCCCCTCACTTGAGTGTGTTGGTGTGGCTGGGTCTGCCAGTTTTGGCTGGTAACACTAACCTGCAACAAATTTCAAAGGGACTGTGCAGCCTGACTGTTTCTTACTGTGCCCTCACTAAACAAGAAGAGGAATCACTGAATTTGGTTCCGTGCATTTTCTCACTTATGCCTCCAGAACAGAAAATCTCAGAACATCCCAAGAGTAAAGGTAGTTTCTCTGCTGTTCAGTTGTTTTTTTTTTTTGCTTTATTTTTTTGCAACAGCATGCCTTGAAAATGCTTTTAGTTTCTTTCCAGATTTGTATTCTTAGTCTGTGTGGGACCTGTGCTCTTACATCTCCCTCAATGTTCACTGCAGTCCTAGAACTCAGGAGCTGTGCCAGGCTGCTAACCTTGCTGGGTATATGGAGCTACAAGATGGGGAGGCTGTCAGGAAGGTTTAGCTTTTGTCTCCTCCTGAACAATTTTGCCAGTTTCAGTCTAGTTCTAGTCTAGTTCATTAATTCTAGCAGAATTAATGTCTATGCTTTTCTGCTTTGGAAGGCTGTGACTGTTTGCTCAATGTGAGAGAGAACTACTACTTGATGCAATCGCTTGTGAAACACAGTGCAGTTGTTTAAAGCTGTCCTGTACATACAGGTTACACAGTCTTTAAGGTACTACAATATCTTTAAGGTATGATTTTTTTTTTTTTTCCCTGAGAATATTAAAAACTCAGTATACTGTTTTTCTTCTCTTCAGGTTTCTTTGTTTAATTGATTATTATGAATCTCAAATTAATCAAATGAAAAAGGAGTTAAGGTAGGTCTAATCTTTAATTCTAATCTCTAATAATGCGTCATGTCCTGCTGCTCAAAGTTCTGTCATGTGCTCCCATTCAGATAAGCAGGAACGTTGCCATGGATCTCCTGCTGGAAAGATGGGAGAAATAGGCATTTCCTGGAGGTAGTGATAACTGTTTGTGATTGTTCTTGTATAAAACCTATAATAGTAAATGTTGTGTATTCTGTGTTCCAGAAGTCACTAATTTGTAAGAAACAGCAAAGGACTGTAATGGTCTTGGAAGTTTGGATTCATCCTGGGCTGAATAGCTGTCAGTCAGTCTAAGCAGCTGCTCAGTCAGGAGGCCAGTACAGCTAGGAAGTTGGGGGTATTTAGATACTTGAGCTGAAATAATTCTTCTCCCCCCCCCCCACCTTTTTATTGGTTTACAGGTTTATTTACAGTGGTTTATTATATTGGCTGTGCTCAGCTGACTGATCTCCGGAAGGAAAGGAAATACCAGCCTTTGAACTCTGTCATGGTGCCTACATGGTACAAAGCAACAGAGCAATTACCTGAGAGTCATTCCTGTAATTTGAGATAATTCTTTTGAAAACTGAAATGGAACTTGCTTATACTGGAGTTTCTTTGAAAGAATAAGTATATTCAATTAGCATATGAAAAAGCTTTCCAGAAGTTGTTGAGAGGAGTGTTGGCTCTTAGGGCAGAATTATTCTGTTTATTTTGCAATTTATAGACACGTTATTATCATACTAAACACTTAACTAACTAAAACAACTGAGTTCTTTGAGGTAATTGAATTACAGTAAGGTGAAACAATTTATTTTTCCCAATAGGCAATACAAAAAAGATGAAGATCATGTACAGAAAGAAGTAAAAAGCAGGGAAGAATTCTTAAATCTAGATGCCTCTCCTAATTATAGAGCACTACTCACGGTACTGTATTGCTAAGAATAAATCAGTGCAGCTCTCTAAATGGTAATCCTTGAAAAGACACACAGAAATACATGTTTTTGATTTCTATCCTCTTGCTCTCATCTTGTCTTTACTTAATTTGTAAACTTTTTGGGGCAGGATACACCGTTTTTATCTAGTTATGCAACGATTCAGTACTGTGTTGAGAAAATTCTTAGCTGAGGACTGAACAGACTTCTTCAATCACAGGTCTCCACCTGTGATCTAGTGCACATGCTCTTGATGGTGACTATTACGTCATCCATGCTGACTTGGTATAAAAAGCAAATGGGAATTTCTCTTAAAACATACATGCTTTGAAGTGTTCAAGTTTGTTGATTATGGAATGAGTGAAATAAAGAAATAATACAGTCTGTGTTGCAGTCTTTCCAGAATCAACTTGTTGAAACAAAAGCCAGGAATGAGCAGCTTGTGCTTGAAAATATAAATCTCAAGAAAGATTTGGAAATAAGGTGAGAAGGGATAAATATCCTTTGTAAAGGCACTTCGGTAGACTGCTTTCAAAGAAAGAAACCAAAAGTGCCAGCAGTTGTAAAAGTGTAGTACATAATCTGCCTTTAAAAGCAATTAATAGAAGTAGGATACAGCAGCAACAATCAACCTCCCCTCCCTACACTGTTAATAGTAACTGTTAATGGGTTATTTTGCTGTGGATTATCTCTGACAATTGTGCTGATATTTATTCGCAATTATTTAGCGAAAGCAATACAAGTGCATGCAGGTAGAGCCTGAGTTCTTGATGAGCTGACTGTCCCAGTATGCTTACAAAAACTCAGTCTTTACACTAGTAGCATTACTGCTAAGCATGATTTCCACTTAAAACCTGCAGGACCAGGTATAGATGCAGACCTTTTTAGTAAGAAAACAGCCTGATCCAGCAGATTTTTTTGTGATGGCGTTAGATATCTGCCTTAGAGCTGTTGCCACGCAGAAATGTTGCAGAATTTCATCTCCAGAATAATACTATGGCACTGGCAACGCTCTCTACTGTTCTGCTTGAATAAGTTTTATTGGTGTCTTCAAATACCAGACATATAATACGGTACTTTTCCTTTCCAACAGACCAACTGCACAGGAATTAAAACTTTACAAGCACCAAGTGAAGAAACTAGAAAAAACTTTAAAGAAAACTATCCAGTAACTATATTTCTTCAGTAACTTTCATGAATCCTCTGACCTTTTAAAACCATAAGATATTCTGCAACCTGTAATGTCGATAGTGGCTTTTAAAGCATGTATCTTATCCCCATTCCTTAGAGCCTGATTTATGGGCAACAAATGTTGTTACTGTCTCTAAAAAGATACCCTGTGAATCTGAAGCAATAGCATGGTGCCCAGCTGAGGGGGAGTGCACAGCAGTGTGTCTTTTTTTATTTGAGTTTTGTCTTTCTGGATTTGATTTGAAGGCTATCCTAGGCAATATGGATGGGGCCAAAACCTGATGTTTGCTACTTCCACAAGCTGTAAAGAAAGTTACTTGGTTGCATTGTGGATTATGAATGACAGTTATTTCTCTTAGTTATTTATTCATCGCTATTAGAGTTGGTAAAATGTTTCAGCTACTGAGGTTATATCCATCCTATTCTTAGAAGTTTACTTGGTGAGTTTTTTTTCTGAAACGTTGCTAAGCGCATTAAAGGTAGTAGAGCTCTAATATTGATAAAAGGTGTCTTTATCTGTAATTTGACTTCATCATTTGTGCGTGTGTATACTGAATGCTAAATATTTTATAGCATAGTATGTATCCTGAAAAAGACATCACTTAAACTAAACATGCTTAGTTTTTAGGTTTTTTTTTTTTTTCATTTTACATTGAGTATATTTGAATGGTCTCTTGTCTCATGCAGTGGATATGATTTAGATGGTAGTTTTAGACCGACCATTGTCTCAGATGTGACAGGAAGGGTAGTGAGCTTTATGTAGTAAGTCAGGAAAGATGTTCAAACAGCAGTAGGTAAAGACTGTGAGCACGCAGAGTGCTGTAAAAACATCCAAATGTCTGTGTGGTTGATAGCATGAAATTTGACCCCTTCAGGTAAAATTCTGGATTTCAACTCTTTGACCATTGTCAGACCTCCAGTAACTGCACGTGTGGTGTTGTCTCTAAACTAACATGCAGTCTGGAATAACATCAACCTGGAGACTTGAGATAAATTTATGTTATTTTTATTAAGCATTATATTTTTCAACCAGTTTGATGGAATTTTATTGGCAGGCATCATAAAATGGAGATTTTTACTTTGTAGGTGCAAGTGTATGTGTTACATACATAGTTCTCTAATCAAGTCGAAAGTAGTATCTCCTGCTGAGGGTACTTACTGTAACTTACTGGTACGAGTTTTGCCTGTAGATCTTCAGGGAGTAGTATTGGAGAAAGAATAAAAGAAAAGAAAGAATCTGAAGGTATCACAGGAGAAGATCAGTTGCAGGCAGTTTGTCAGCAATACTTACAGGTATGCAGATTTGATCTATATTACATGTATTGAGCACTCTCGTAATGTAATACAATAAATAAAGCTTATTTAACTATGTAAACTGAAGCATGCTACTTTGAGTCTAAGGGTTCATATAAAGTCCTCTACGCAAAACGTGTAATGTTCTAAATTTGGCAGTGAACGTAGGCTTATTCTTAATTGTTCTTAGTGTAAATTAAATGTAGGCTTATTCTGGACTGTTTTTAGTGTAAGCTCCCTTAAAATATAGCAAGGAAGCAAAGACTAGCCAGGCAAACATGAAATCAGAGATTTAGCTGAAAGTCTTTCCAGGACATGGTGTCTATTCAAGGTCCTGTGCATGGTTTTGTTATGGTTTCAAAAATGCCTGAGGAGATAGTGGGTTTTATTTTTCTTTGAATTAAAAAAGCAAATATAATAAAGATTAGCAATACGTAAGCTGTGTAAGTAACAACGTCATGAGGGGATAAATATTAAATATTCCTGAAGGGGAAGTATATTTGCATTATTTTTCTATTTCTTCTAGCTAGTATGTTTTTAAATCTTTGAATCTATTACACATTGAATGCATTTGTAAAATTTGACTATAATAAAAATAGGAGCTATTTATGATTTACTGTTTGACTAAATTATGAATGTGGTGGTGTGGGTGTGGGTGGTTTTTTTTTTTTAATTATAAAAGGTTGTGGATATTTGAGCAATCACATGGTTTATTTGGTGTTGAAGGTTTTGTCCAGTATTGATTCTGTTATAAGAAGTCCAAGAGCTCCTCCGCTAATATACAGGCGCAGTAAAGGGCCAATCCAAAATTATATTAAAGAGAATGGACAGGAATGTAGATTTGAGCACCTTCCTCCTACTATAGAAATGTGGGCAGATCAGCTCATGGCCCTAAAGGTAATGCGTTGTTGTACTTCCTATTCTTTCTTTATTTTTTTTGATCTTTTAATCTGTTGACTACCCTTGTTCCCCAGTCACTTTCTTTACCCTCCCTACATACAGTTTGCTTGCTCATGTGTCTGCATGTGTATAGGTTTTGTTTTCTGACTTGGTGTTAAATTTTAAAAAGAATTCTGCTATGTATTTGTATACCGCTTTAAAACATAGTGAGTGAAAAACATGCAGTGCGCCTGCAGGCCTGATGCATTCCTCTGTGTTTATTGTCTAAGTGTTTTTGTTCACTGGTTGAGTCCCTAACACAACGTAAGCTTTGGAGCCCATGTACTTTACACATTATTGCTGATGTATTTTCTCTCTTCCTTTTGTCTTGCCAGAATGTTAACTTTTTGATTTAAATACAGGTAACTTTGTTTAAAAACAAACTCTCTGTGACCAACTTCTTCCTATATTTACTGAAGCAATAACGTGCAAAGCACTTTTGTTTTCAGAACATCAGTGCTCTTTTTAAAAAAAATCAGAGAACTGGAGCAAAATTTTCTGTTTAAACCCATGACAACTAAAACCTTACTGTCTGCAATACTGTATTGTTTTCGCATATGAGAAACAGAAAATCTGCCTGATTCTGTGATAAAAACAACTTTAAGCAGTTACTTTAATAACAGTTGTGTCCCCTCCCTTTTAAAAGGATTTGCACAGGTCCTTGAGAAAACTGTCTCTGGAATTGGTGCCCTGGCACACTACAAGTCCCCAGGATAACAGAGAATCTGTACGAGTTGAAGACCTTCAGTTCATAGTAGATGCAATTTTAGAAGAAATAGAAAATAAAGAGAAGGTAATTCTTACCAGGGGTCTATAATCAAAAGTTATTCTGGAGTTCTTAAATGCATTTGTCACATGTTGGTTAGATTTGTGCATTTGAAAACCCTGTGGGGTTGCAGAAATAGCTGCTTGAAGATACTCAGTAGTGAAAGACTATTTTAATATGAAGGATAAATTCACTTTGGTGAAGACTCTGCTTTAATCATCAAAGTCATTTGACCAGCAATGAATTTGCATTGCCCTGTAGTCTCTCAGGTACCATCCTGTTCCGTCTGTTTCTCAGTTAACATTGAGAATACATAAACATACTTACCAAGCAACAGAAATGGAAGCTGTCAAAAGAATATTTTTTGGTTTGCTGGATATTTGTGTCTGAAAACCCTCTTTAAAATGTATTTTTGGATATAGCCATACTTGAAATATCTTCATTTAATAAGGGAAGGTACACCTGTTTTTCTTCATAGACTAGTTTTAATGTTTCGTGGCTTGAAAGAATTTTGCTTTGTTAAAGTAATAACTGACCAATTATTTCTGCTTGCTACAGAGCAGCCAGACACCGTCCTTACAAACGCTGCATGCGATTGTCTCTCACTTCCAGAAGTTGTTTGATGTGAGTTCTCTGAATGGTGTTTATCCACGAATGAACGAGGTTTACACAAAACTTGGAGAAATGACCAATGCTATGAGAAATCTCCAGGAGCTCCTGGAACTAGGTAAAGACTTACCACCTAGCATGTGTTCAGACCCTTTCCACAGGAATAAGAAGCTAAGTGAAAGGCTGATCTCTATATAGAAAATACATTGAGCTGCTGAGAAATGAGTAAAGTAGATGTGTTCTTGACTGCAAAGATAAAAATATGTTCTTGTCAATTGGGAGTTTAAATAGGAAAAACATGATTCGTAAAGTCTGTTGTGTTTAGCAGTTGCTGAAGAATACCAAGGTGGCAGAAGAAAGGAATAACAGATCATATTGAAGTATCTCTTTTTCACACAGCTTTGTTTCCCAGTTGGTGACTTTATTTGTATATCTTCTCAACCATCTTTCATTCTCTGCTTGAAAGATAACAAGTTTAAGAATACCTATATTTTTTTCATTTGTAACAGCTATTATTTTAGAGAAATAGTTCAACCCTTGCTGTAGATTTCTCCTCAGTAATTGATTCAAGTGTAAGTATGTCCAGTTCTCAGAAACTTCTTATTCTGCTAAGCTTTGGAAAAAAGAAGTTAAGTCAAAACTAAATGCCGGTGCTCAGAGACCTACTTAGTTACTTCCAGGTACCCGTTCTGTTCCAGTTGTATACCTCTACAGAACAGAGGCTGATAGTCTTCCCTGAACTCACGGGTTTAAAGACGTGGCTGCTTGGTAGGGTTTACAGCCCAAGGGTGAGGCTCCTGGAATGTCAAGGTCTCCTTTTGGGCCTCGTTCAAAGAAGGAAGCAGATTTACCACCTGTAGCCAACAGAGAAGGTGAGGGAAACTTCATGTCTCCCTAAGAGAGACGTGGCCAGAGAGATCAGGGGCTACCTCCTGTAAGAACAGGCCCTCTGAAATGGATGGAGGAAAGGACAAGGGACCTGTTCCTTTGATCAAAGTAGCCAAAGCAGGTGAAAAATCAATACCGGAAAAGCGTTCTGGCTAGTAACCATGTATTTAAGGAGCAGGTTCCTTGTTGGCCGTATTCCATGCCATACCATGCTTATGCTGTGTTGTAGGAACCTAAAATAGTTTTAGTTGGCTCTTTTCCACTGACATCATAGAATGCAGTTTAGTACCGTCTCTGATGTGAAAATACACACCTCTGACAAGCGTTTTAGTCCCTAAGGGATGCGTGAGAGACTCACCACTTCCAGTAATGCTAGTTTATTTCTGAGCACAAGCACTTCATTTTCTGTGAAGGAAGGAACTTGTACATCTAGATGTGTCGAGGCTGAATGAAACTCAGTTCTTGCTGGTACCTAGGTTATGTCTAAAGTACTTTCCTGTTATTAGTCATGAAGTGTTTGTTTTTCAGACAGCTCTGCTCCACCCACTGTGGTAGTGGATACTGTTGGGAAACTATGTGACATAATCAATGAAAATGTGACTGAGCAGGTGCAGCAACTTCTGGGGACCCAAGACATCCACAGGTATGTGGTGCTTTTCCACTGGTGAGAACTCTTCAAATCTCAAGTTTAGCAATTGAGAGAACTGGCTAAGGCAGATACTGAAAGTGACTTCAATCATCTGCTACAAAGTTAATAATTCCTTTTCTGTCACAGCTTTCTGTTAGCCTATAGGAAACAAATCCTTGAATACTTTCAATTGCATAAAGCTGCTAAGGAGATAAATTAAGGCCAGAGGCTCCAAAACCCCTTTTTGGCTTTCCAGGATAGTGTGATTAAATAAGCTATGTTAAATAAGGAGACATAACAAATACTGCATGTGGATGGGAAGGAGAAAGTGTTGCAAAGTGTCAACTGTAACATTAAAAGTCTGTTAGTTGTTGTGAGAACATATGCCTCAAACTTCCTACAAATATTCTGGGAACTGGACCAATCCTATTTTTTTCTTCAACAGATGAAAACATACATATGCTCAGTAGCAGGCTGTAAGAGCTTATGATGTTCAGAATTTGCTATGCGCGAGCACAAAAAAAGTTAGTTGTGGGCAGTAAGTCTAACACAGGCTGAGTTAACAGTACTATCTCCTTCCACCTTTGTCCGCTCCTTTGCGGTTTTAACTAGAGAATAGTTGCTGAAAAAAAGATTCCTTACTGTCTGCCTCTGAAGCAGTTGCATCAGCCACCCCCAAGTGGTGTATTTGGCATACATAGACTAATGTTCTAGTCCAAAAATTCCATGGCATCAGGTGAGGTAGAGAGGAAGGACGTATATAGAGCAGAAACAGTGACATTTTCAACAACAGCTAATCTTCTGAAAATAACAGTTGTTGGCCGCAGGTTTCAGAACGCGAGAATGCATTTTTGGCATAGATGGAGTTGCATACAACTTAGTAATATTGTTTTCAGAAACTTGTGCCATACTATGCCATAACTTAGTAATATTGTTTTCAGAAACTTATGGCATAGTATGGCACAACAGCCAAGGAGATGAACTGCCTTTGCAACTTTGATCTGACAGTCTCACTTACACATTTCAGTATAATCCGTAAGCTAGAAGAACATGAATGCTTCTTTCCACCATTTCAAGCTCTCATTCAGGATTTGCTCTGTCTTCTAGGTAAGTCATACTTGCAACAATTTTAGGTACCTTCGTGCCACAATTTCCTCTTCCTCCTCAAACTTGTTACAGCTAACAGGTGTTTTGTTTACTCCTGATGTGTAAATCTTTAGATATAAAACACAGGGAAGATAGGGGGAAAGGTGCTAATTTTAGCCTCACTCTTGTCTCTGTCTTTCCACAGCAAGTAAGCAAAATACTTGCAAATTAAGTTTTCATCGAAAATTGGATTGCATGTGTTCAATCATATTACTCATCAGCCAAAGTAGCTTAAATACAGCTTTTTCCCAAAAGCACTAACATGTTTGAGGAGATTATTCTCTGTGGTGCTCCTTGCTCACCAGTTGTATTTCTAAACATTTAAGCTAGAATTGTGCTGGAAGTTGAAGATGTTCTACATCTATATGCTTCACTACTTTGCTTTTCATTTTGTTTCAGAAATCAGTAACCTGGATGATATTTTACCTACTGTGAAAAATCTGAAATTGGTAGCTAGTTAAGTGTTTGTATTGTGTGCCCTAACATGCTCTATCTTACCTATGAATGCACCAAGCAAATGGCATACAGCTACCTCGCCTCCGTGACCCTAATGGACAGTTTCAGAATATTCTGACATAAATAAAAGCTTGACTTTGCCACTGCATTCTTTTATTTCTCTTAAATTGACCATGAAACAATTATTAAGAAAGATTTCTTATAACCACAGATAACTGGTCTGTTAAGTTCCAGAGAGAGAACCACTACACCCTGATATCAGTCTGCCCCACACAAAGACAGAAAACAGATATAGCCCCTATGCATCTTGAATGGTACTGGCATAGGAAGCATGATACAAAGAAAGATGCTCTACCTGCCCTAGCCCTCATGCTTTCATCATTTGACCATGTCTTGGTTTTCTGAAGAGTCTATTTCAAAACGCCCTTTACCTCTTCATATAAGTTTGAGATTTGAGTTAATGATACTCTCTTCTCTTCAGCTATTTACCAGATGTCATGGTTCCCGATTTGTGCTGCAAACTGTTGGTCAGTGAATATTCTTTGTGGTTTTGGATTAAGACAGACTAGCTTAATGTAATATTAGCTGAAATGAGCTGAAACTTGCTTCAGTTGGTAGTTTATGGATTTCTACCTAGCATGGATTTGGTATTCATGGTCTCCCTTCTAAAGGTCAGTCTTAGTAAGGCATAGATAAAGTTTTGTAAGCAAGACATTTAAAAGTTTATTGTACAGAAACAGGTACATTGAGCTTCTGAAAATATTTTAGTATATTTCACTCCAGTGTTAAGCTTAGTTTACAAAACTGCTGTTCCTCAGGCACAACACTTTACTATCAATTTTGAAATGTACTGTAACAAAGAACAAAACATGTTAAGGCATCACAAACTAAACCTTAATGACATCTTGGTAAACTAATTATCTCCGTGCTTTTTGGAAGCTCATTATATACATACCTGCCACCACAGTCTAAGATACTCAAAAGTGGACTATTAATTTCTTAGTTTCTCAAAACCAACTGCCATTAAACAGTCTTAAACAGTTTCTTTCAACACTTCTGAAGCCTCATAGGTGAAGGATGTTAAAAAACAAAACAAAACCAAACCCTATTCTTTCACAGGTGCAGTGCTTTCAAATGTTGCTAAAACAATATAAGATCCTGGGAAAGTAAAACTGCCCAATCAGAGCAATGATGTGTAGCTGACAGAATCTAAAATAAGTTAAGGTGCAAGACTTAGCTTAAGAGAGTTTTCATACTTAAGGGTTCTTTGGGAAAAGGATGCCAGAAACAGCAAAAATAAGTGACTAGTGCTATTTAAAGCCAAATTATTCCCAGTGGTTTCTTACTAAACACTGAGTAGCATCTTTAAATATACACATCCTGAACAGGAGACTGCTCCAAGTTTGCAGTGACTGCTCAAAACGCATTAATTACAAAAGATATGTACATTCGTATAAAGTTAGTTTACAAATTAGTAACTTATGCACAGGAGAAGAAATCAGCTTTTCTTGTATCTACTTCTTGTCAGCTCATACCTGCAAGACAGATACAGCAAGTAGTTACAGCAGTTACAGGGTTGTTCTGTTTTTTTTTTTTTTTTTAAATAGTTTTAACTGGCACAATTGAGGAGGAGACTTTGGGCTGCTTTATCGCTTGTGCTTCATAGGCGGTGGGGCAAAGGAGAGGTCAAAGATGGCCTCAAACTTCAGTTCTTTACCAGGAACTTCGAATGAGTGAGTCATTTCTCTCCTACTCTCATATTTGCTCTCTGCCTCCATAAGATACACGCTCAAGTTAGGCCACAGGGACTTGGTTTTCCTGTCCTGCTGATCAGTATTATCTTACTGTCCTTGTGGATGGCAGCTACTAGACTACCCATGCTGCATTCCTTGGGCTCCTTCATTGAAGGAGAAGGAAGAGCTGCAGCCATTAACTACAGACTTTGGGGAAAAAATATCAGGTTCCTAATTTTTGCCTCAGACCAATACTTGAGGTTTTTAAGCCTGAACCACAAAGGAAAACAGTGAATAGCTTAACATAATAACTTTTATGAATGCTTTGTAATTATAGTTTTATCATATTTATAATATACATTGCTGACCAGAATATTTAGTTTAAGATCTTCCTACACATTACAATTTGTTACAAGTGTACTTTAATAACGCTAATTCTTTTACTCGTATTTCCCAGTGGCTTTTATCATAACTTAAAATAAAATATGCTAAAGACTAAGAATAATTGTCATGTAGGCCTCTTATTAAAACTCAGAGAGCAGATATTGCACTAGTAACGAGATTAACATCAAAATTTGATAAAACTACCAAATTAGTTCAAGTTAGTCCAGCGTTTGCATGCAAAAATATTCTCTTTGCTCACCGAATTACACAACCCATTCACCATCACTCCAACATGAATTCAGGACAAAGCAATTAGCAGGGTTTGAAAGTATGAAGATGAAACAAACGTACCATTGTGCAAAGCCTTTGATTAAGTCTTCCTGTGACAAGTCAATTTGCACCTTTAAAAAGCAAATTTTATTTTATTATTCAGCATACAAGTTTATTAGCAAAGTTAGCACTCCTCCCGGGTCAGTTCCACTTAAGTTCTAGGGCTGCAGCTCAGGGTCTGGGGAGCTGAGCTTTGTGCATTTCCAAAACATGGGAATTAGCTAGCCTCAGCACTGAAGCTCAGTTTCTTAAGAGAAAGAACTGAGGGAAGTTTACTTTTCACATAATCAAAGTTGTTCACAGAAAACTTTTTAAAGAGTGTTGCTGGAAAATTCTAAGTTTTATTGCAGGTCATTCTCGGCTCCATGTTTGCATTACTTGAGGGGTTGCCCAAATGGGCAGTGGAGTATTCCAAGCAGCACGTTTCTGTTTCAGAAATGCCCCTTTTCAATGAAGTAGGGTGCCTTATAAATCACATGAGACCACTCAAGCTTCTATAGGGATTATAGCCTGATTTAGGATGAGAATTTGGCAGAAAAAGAGTTGCTTTCAGAGTGAGTGCCAGTTCTGTTATTCACAGTAGAATTGCAGTTCAGGATTAGAAGAATCTCTCAAACTGTTCAGCTGTGGTAAGTCAGTAGTATAACTTGTTTGAACTTACTTTGCCCAGTTCTTTTCTTTCCTGTGAAATGAACGGCCTGCTGTTTTTCACTGCAATGTCTAATGTCCTTTTCTTAACATCTTCCAAAGATTCAAAAAATTCAAACCTAAAAGTAAAGTTTTGTGAGGAGAGACTTAAGTCAAACATTAAAATTCTATAAACATCAGTGGCCAGAATACAGTAATTTTAACAGAGAAGGAATATAGCTTTATAGAATGACCTTTACAGCACAGGTGAATCACACCCAAAGTTTGAAAAGGCTTTACTGCTTATAAACCTTAACGTTTATAAACCTTGAGAACATTGTTGCCCAACCACGGCACGTTTTAATAAGGTAAAACACTGCTTTGGAGGACTGACTTTAATCCACATGTGAACAAAGCCTGTTCTCCATGGAACAGAAAAGGCAATTTTATCGTTAGATTTTAGTAATATTATAAGAAATCTTTTCCAGGCCTCATGCAAGAATATGACATTCTGTTGATGATCGGACTGTTCCCCATGCCAGGGGCATGAAGGAATGAAGGAAAACATACATCCGCGATGAGATGCTATTTACCAACAATTTTCCCCTTCATGGAAGATCAGCATGTTTTCCATGCAACACCTGTTACTCAGAGGAAATAGCAGAGCCAAACCCCCAAGTTTACAAAGTAGGCTTATACCACATTAAGAGAAGACAAAGGAAGGAACCTGTGGCAATTATATTCTTAATGACTCTTGACTCATGACTGGCACACATCATCTAATGCAAAGCCAGTTTTGCCCATGCTAAATCCTTTTGGTTCTGCCCCCCTAAGTAGTTTTTCCTTAAGTCAAGAGTTGGTAAGACAGGTAATGTGTTTTGGAGCTTAGTATTGCTCAACGTATTATAGTTAATTACGGATGTACAGGATCTGCCAATATTGGGGGTGAGGGGAAAGAGATTCTGCTCCTAGCAGCTGTGCTGACACTACATCCGTAGAGTACTTGCTAGAGGAGTTCATGAGAACAGGCAGGAACAAAATCCACAGCTCTAGCTAGCGACTAGTATTTTGAGTGTCAATAGGGGATGGATTTAAAGTCTTCTCCGTTTCTACCCTATCCTAACATCTATAGGAAAGACCAAACATTGGGGAAAAATAATGAGTTACCCAGTATTCACATAAGTGTATCTTCATCTACACAAGGAGATAAAAGAACATCTTTCAAAATAGCTCTACTTTTAAGCCGTACTGTGATTGACTTTACACCAAACACATTCCACTTCACTGGCAAAGCTGTGGACACGGTAATAGTCAGCAAAGAGGTGGTAGCATTTTAATCTGCTTCCACTAGGTCTCGATGAGAACATCCATCCGCCCATCTGAAGAATGGCCCGGTCTCAAAGGGCTTTATATTTTTGCCTCTGGCGTTTGGCAAAACGTGAGAATATGGAACAGGGGAAGAAGCAGCATGAACAGAGAAGTGGGTTTTGTTAGGTCCCGAAACGGGGAGATTAACTCCGCAGTAACCGAGTTAAACGTGGGAAGGGGAATGTCTGCGTGCCAAGAAGCAAGCAGCACCTTGCATCTCCTAGGGTCAGGGAAGGGAGCGAGGAGGTGTGTGCTCCTAAGGAGGGAGGGACAATATTGTATACAGGGAGAAGCCAGCCCTAACTACTCACAAATCTCAATCCAAGTGCCACTTTTTCAGAAAACCTGCGAATGTTCACATGAAACACTCCTTCAGGCACAACAGCTGCATACCTCATGTAAGCCCTTTCATTAAACAGAGATTGTACCTTTTTCAGCAGCAATCATAATTAAAATTTTCTTACTTTTCATCATACTGGGGGTTCAGAGTTTTTTTCTTAACAGAAGTCTTCTTTCTGCTTGTCCATCTTCTATCTGGAAGCAGGTATATACGAACATATGGATCTACTCCACGATTAGAAGAGGGTACTAAGTTTCTGTTAAAAGAAATACAGCATTGATAAGCAAGTCAGCTTCTCTCGCTACATGACTTTTAATGTGTTGTCACTTAGAATCAGACCCACCCTCCATGAGGAAACA